TTTCGTAAGATGAAGCATTCGTAAGTAGAGGTACCACTGTATCTGCAAATTTATTCCACTTCAGCTGACAAAAAGATTCTTATCAACTCTTTAAAAAAAAGGCATGTCACATCTGTTTGACAGCAATTTAGTAAGCCAAATGCCCTGATGAAGAGGGGCTACTGAGCTTTCTGATAAAAGAGTTACCATTCTAGCATTTTTGTATTTTCCATTGTAGTTGGGGCTGTGGGGCATAAATTTCTGCATCGAGATTCAGAACCAGGTCCCAGGTCAAAGTGTTGTTGTTGTGTGCCTTCAATTTGTTTCAGACTTATGTTTTTTTTTCTGGGGCTGAGAGTTTGTGACTTGCTCAAGGTCATGGTTTCCATGGCAGAGCAGGGAATGAGACTCTAAATTTGGTTGAATAATAACAGGTTATTTTCCGAAGCACCAGACCTGAACTAAATCTAAATACAACTGGCTTGTACTTAATTCTGCATTGGTATTCATTTCTTTTTACATTGTGAAAAGTGGGAGATTCTGACAGTATATAATTAATGTGAGATTCTGTTATTTTGATTCTGTTATCCTGACACTGTAGAACAACAGTTCAATGTATTCTTAACAGAGGTATTGCAAGTCTGCCTCCCTGCCCCCAAATGTTCACAGGAAAGTCCCATAAGTGTCTGATTTTGTTATTTGGCTTTCAAAGAATATGTTTTGGGCCAACTCATAAATCTTGACACACAGCATTATAGCTGGCTTGCGGCTGTACAGCTTGTTGAGTTCCATCCTCCATAACACCAACTGAAATGTAATATCACAAGCAAAACATTTTATTTAAATTTGGTATCATTGCTTGCACTGGCACATACAGACACACTGCTAGCATGCCAGGACATGTATGTATAGACTAGACATCATTGGTTAGAATGATAATGATTAAAACATTTATATGACTTTTATTTTCATAGAAAATCCCAAAGCAGTTTATACAGTACAATGACAACATTATACAATAATACCCATCATTTAAAAAATAAAAATAACCAGTCAATTAATGTCACAATTGCTCATATTAAGAATTAATGTTGAAACGTGTCCTGCAATCAGTGTGGTATAGTGAGTGATTCAAGTGTTGACTAGGGCTCTGGGAGATCAAAGAAATCTGAACCTTAAAATACTTTGCTCTTTCCAGTCTGAGAAAAGATGAAAGAATCACAGGGAAAATACATGAGAACATTATAGGATAATATTTTAATATTTTAATATCCATTAAAAATGTGTAAACAAAGCATGGTAGTCTGCTCTATTCACTTAATTTAGAAACATCCCTATATTCGTGGAACACTAGAACCACCATAAAATAATATTTCAAACAGTCTCTCTGTTACCATTTTTGAGCAAGGTAATTGAGAGGGTGGTTGTTCTTCAACTCCAAGCTGTCTTAGATGAAACCGATTATCTAGACCCATTTCAAACTGGCTTTAGGACAGGATTTGGAGTTGAGACTGCCATGGTTGCCTTGGCCGACGACCTGCGTCTGAGCATCGACGGGTAGTGTGACCCTGTTGGTGCTTTTAGACCTCTCAGCAGCTTTTGACATGATAGATCATAGCATACTCTTGGATCACCTGCATGGGTTAGGAATCAGAGGCACTGCATTGCAGTGGTTCCGTCCCTTCCTCTCGGGCAGATCCCAGAGGGTGCTGCTTGGGGACAGCCACTCTGGAAAAAAGGAGCTCACCTGCGGCATCCCTCAAGGCGCCATTCTATCCCCGATGCTGTTTAACATCTATATGAAGCTGCTGGGTGAGATCATTTGGAGTCATGGAGCTGGGTGTTATCAGTATGCTGACGACACCCAGATCTATTTCTCCATGTCTTGATCATCGGCCTTGACTCCCGATGGTGTCTCTCCTCTCAATGAATGTCTAAGGGCAGTAATGGGCTGGATGAGGAAAAACAGATTGAGAGTGAATCCAGACAAAACGCAGATGCTCATAGTAGTGGCCCCGAAACCAGGAATTGGGATGCAACCTCCAGTCCTGGATGGGGTCACACACTCCGTAAAGGACTGTGTTCGCAGTCTGGGTGTGCTCCTTGACTCATCGTTCCTGATGACTAATCAGGTAAATGCTTATC